AACAGGTGCTTCTGTACAATATTGTGACACTGGTCAGGTCCAAGCTGGCTGGACGAAATTTAGTATGAGCAAACCGAAGGCTTCACCGCTGAACGTAAACGTAAGTTTATGTAATTCCAAGTAATACCCGCTGCTATTGCGCCTGTCGGGGACCAGGATGTATTGGTTGTATCAGACATTTTCATTCAATGTGTACGTGCAGCTGGTAAGATAAAATAGGAGTTTCGCGGGGTAAATCTTTCATTGATTTGATATATACATACTAGCATTTGTATCTAATACCTTAGGTAGTACCTGCCTTGTTACTCGGCATATCTTCCACACTACGCTATGCGGAGGCCCTAAAACTCGTCACATGATTCTACTCGCTACAGTACTATGATGTAATTAGTAGTTATTTTGTAGCAAGCTAGTTCGGCTTGCAGAAAACACAGTAGTATGCGGTACCTCCCCATACACGTAACGTAATTTCGGAGAGCACCCGAAAAATCTCGCTCTATCTAGGCAACTGCTAAACAGATGACAATCTCACACCGTACAAACTGCATATTAGATCTAATTTGACATAATTGTATTCTTGATCACCATAAGCACAAAGTAGATCGAAAACCAAGTCATATAAATTCCCAATAAGTATTTTAACTAATCTAATAACCTTCATACACTCCAAATCCCCTGGTAAGAGCAAAGTAGTAAAATATTATGCTCAAATAGCCGGGAAGAAGATTTTCTAATCGAATACTATATAAGTATTGTAAAATCGCTCTGATCGATTTAGAAAGTCAAAATCCAGGATCAGCTACTAATCAGAGTGCTGCTGGTACAGCAGAGACAGAATCCGGTATAGGATGCAGTCCGTATGGTGTAAAATGCCATCCGATTAGCAGCCACCTCTTTGTATCAATGCGGACTGGTGTAATTTACTAAAACTATACTGTTGTGGTTTTATAGTTACTAAGTTAAATGTGAATGTAGATTCTGATACACAGTACTGTAGATTGGCATGCATGGCTTATTCGTGCCTGCCAAAAGGCCGCAGTAAAGGGAAGCCAGCGCCCCAGTAACTCGAACAAGCCGGGCCTAACTGTATAGCAACAACCTCAAGCCGCCTATTGAAGGGCACTTGTGTGATTAGAACATCAAGAAGCATTTGTGGAGTGCTAAAGCTAGACCAGAGGCCCAGTCTTGAAGGTAACGCTCGAGTCAGGACTTTGTTGAAATTAATTTCTGAAGTTTATTTTGTGGCTCGGGGTGGTTGGATGGTAGGCCTTAACTGCGTTTTACTTTACAAAGTACGAAGTGCGGAGTATTTCAGTGGTATCTCAACTGAAGCCTGGCACGCTCGTTATGTTTAATGTAGACATATTTCCCCTCTGCCGCCTTCGCCTCGATTCTTTATAGTAGTATATCCATAATGGACATCGTCTGCAGCCAGAAACATCCGGTTGCCCTGTTATGCCCACCTGGGCATCCGTCGGGCCCGATTTCTAGCCAGATCTACAGTAGGTAGTTACAGTGGGCAAGTTACCCGAGTCTTCGGTGTTCAAGGTGCCTGGGTACCTTATTTGTACTGCATACTGTAAAGGGGAGTGCACCGCCTCGCCCAACTGTTGTTCCGGATTCCGGTGCCCCCCCCCCCATACTCCGTAGAGTGTGACGTATCCCGCTAGTCTAAACATGACCCCTAGGCAGACACAACTACTCCTATTTACCAAACTATCACCCGGTGTTCTTCCATACATACGATCATTTTTAGTTGATAAAGGTATACAATTCAATCTCGCTCGTGTCATACAGATTTGGGGCGTCACTTGTTACCTTTTGCCACATCTGACAGGGAACAATTGTGTTAGGTTATTACACAGACATTTGAAGCTTTTGTGGTGAACCAGCTGGTAGACATGGCGACCCTGAACTTATCGGCAAATGGACCTTCGATATCAAAGAGCTATCAGAATGTCGTGAACTCTTCTTTTGCGGGTTCTGACACAAAATCTCCTACTTATGGACAATGGGCGATCTTCTCTGTCTCTACACCACTCGTCAATGCATTCCAGAAAGAGAGTTCTAACAAAGAAAGTGTCTTGAAGGTTCAAGATACCGGAGGTAAGTCTCTCCCACTAACTAAATGAAACTTTAACTGACTATATTCTACAAGCCGGGGAATTGGCGGATCTTATCGATGAATTTTCAGAAGGGAAAATACAGTTCGCTTATGTCAAGGTTGTAGATCCGAACACGGGTCTTCCCAAGAATGTTCTCATTGCCTGGTGCGGCGAAGGTGTCCCTGAACGGACAAAAGGATATTTTACCAGTCATTTGTCTGCCGTTTCGAAGTTTTTGCACGTTAGTTCACACTTGCCCCATTCCTACTTCTTATCTGACTCAAAGATCTACCAGGGATACCATGTACAGATAACTGCTCGCTCGGAGGGAGACCTAACCGCCGAAGGAATCATACAGAAAGTTGGCGACTCATCCGGCGCAAAGTACACCCCAGGTGCAGCCCAACAACCATCCTTGACACCCAAGCCGCCGATATCGACGAAGCCTGTTTTCACCCCTAGCCGAACTGCTGGCATTGATCTGAGAGCAGGGGGATCGGGCCCACAGCGGGTAGTCCGGAGCCATGATGACAATGATGGCTGGGGCCCTGATGCGCCACCTGTTACTAGGACCGAACTTGAAAAGGTCCAACCTGCCTATAAGCCGACGAAGGTTGATATCCAGAAACTGAGGTCAGAGCCAAGAGATGCCACGGCCGTGAATGAAGCGCAGCGTTCTGAGGATCGTGGCGATATTGTCAAAGGCGGTTACCAACCTGTTGGGAAGGTAGATATTGCCACAATCCGGAAACAGGCCCGCGAAGCAGGCAACTTTAGTGATGATAAGCCAGAGCCTGTGCGGGGTGCATATGAGCCCGTCGGAAAAGTCGACATCGCTGCAATTCGGTCCAAAGTACAGAAGCCAAACGTTTCTACAGCTGACAACGAGCGCGGCTCTCACGAATTGACTAATGCAGCGCCATCCAGCAGTTCCGAGCGTCTGAGCAGCTTACCGAAGCCGAAAGTGGCGAATAAATTTGGTATTAATTCAGCGTTCGTGGGTACAAAACCGCCTCTGCCTGTTGTCCCTTCTACAAAGGCGGGCTCTTCTACCGCACAGATTGGCAGTGCAAGCCGTACATTTGCCGATGAGGGTGGAAAGACGCCGGCACAACTCTGGGCAGAAAGGAAAGCTAAAGAGCGTGGACAAGAGAATGTATCGGCCCCGCTACCGTCGAATGGCACCACTGCCATCAACCAGGAAAGTGAAAAGGGGGAATGGAAGAGTTCCTATAGCGGCAAAACTTGGGCCCCGGTTCAGACCACAAACACCGGCAAGTCCTTCGATAGTGACGTTCCCCAGCTGTACCAGGCGTCAGATTCTGCTCCTACTGAGTCGACCCAAATTGATACCCAAACCCCCCAACCAAGTGTCAGTGCTATCAGGGATCAATTTTCTCAAGGCCCTGCGCCAGACTCTCCTCTGGTACGAGAAAATGCCAAGAATAGCAGCCATTCCATTCCTTTACCTGGCCTGCGGGTCGATTCTCAGGACTTGGAAGCTCCTCAAGAGTCTGTAACTCGTCAAGAGCTTCCCACCCCGCCGCAACAGCCTCGATCTCCGACCCCACCTAGTCCGGAGCGCGAAACTTCCCCAATACGCGTTGCCCTACCCGTGGGTAAAGGACCGACTGATGTTCACGAGGAGCAACGCTCGCCACCTGTGATACCCATCGGAAGTCTACAAGACGCAGTGCCCAAAGAAGAGGAGCTGGAGGATGATGTGCACGACATTGGACGGGCGACGGCCCAAGCTACTGTTGGTGATGAAATGCAAGAAGACGGGATCAAAGCTCTCGTACAGTATGATTACGAGAAAGCAGAAGATAATGAGATCGAACTGAAGGAAGGCGAGTACGTTACTAATATCGAGATGGTCGATCAGGACTGGTGGTTAGGGTCGAACGCCCAGGGAGATAGAGGTCTTTTCCCCAGCAATTATGTGGAGGTAGTTGCAGATGAGGAACAGACCCAGGCGGCTTCAGGACGTCACGAAGATACGGTTGAATCGGATTCTCCAGTACCTGTCACGAAAGTCACTGAATCTCCGGCTCCGGCTCCGGCTCCCGTGCCAATCAATGAGTCTACTGCGACGGCTCTGTATGACTATGAAGCCGCTGAAGATAACGAACTCAGCTTTCCTGAGGGCGCTGAAGTAACTAACATTGTAAGTCGTGATTATTCGAGCCTATAAATCTCGATGCCCCCTTTTCCCCTCTTCCCAGCATATGGGGAAGCCTCCAATCATTGATAGCTAATCATCTGGGCCATTGCCTATGCCCTCCAGGAATTCCCCGATGATGATTGGTGGTTTGGTGAGTACCTTGGTAAAAAGGGGCTCTTCCCAGCCAACTATGTGCAACTTGCGAAATAAATGCCGTGCAATCCTTGTCTACTGCAGACTCGCTGAGTACGACACCCAAACGTGGCCGAGTTGGCCATGAAGAAATCAACTGGCGAGGGGAAACTAACAGAAGTATGTCTGCGAAGGTGCAACTCTCCTTGGCAGGTTGTTGTTTGGGGGAGGGGTTTGTTTCCTGCCTTTGGTGCTTTGTAAATGTACTTAGTATGCACTTGTTATCAATTCATAGTGTATAGTTTCAAGCCTTTTACTGTTTGGCCAGCGGGGTCAAATATTTCTAGATCGAGAAGAAGGGTGTTGTTGGTATACGCAAGACTTCACCGAAGAAGGAAGTGGCTGAAGTTCAAAACAACATGGGTGCATAGCAGTACCGTGACTCTGAATAGAAGGCCAGAAAGCCGATGGACCGCTGACAAAACGAACGAATCAGAAGGTAGAAAGCGGTGCCGCTGCTCATTAGTAATAATCACATGACATCTTGGTCTAACTCTACTGCACATGAAATCCGGCGGTTTGAACCACTGAGGGTGCTACAGAAAAGGATAAAGGGCGCTGCCCGGGTTGCATACTTCGTTATTTCTTCTTCGGTATTTGAAGCATTGAAAGAAAGGTTAGCCCCGTTTTTTGTGAAAGTTGTCAGAGATATTGTGAGCATACAGCACCTAACATGAAACTGTACTTCTCAGTTATTATTTTCCCCAGTATTGACAAGAAGACTATCCACGTTTGATAAAGACATTGGGGCCTGTATCACTGGGCACTTTTACAACGATGACAGCTCTTAGCGAAGACCTGCTTGTGACTGTGAACAAGCTTCAAGATCTTGTCTTTAATACGATCGGAAATGACTCCCTTGACTTGCCGCAGATTGTAAGTTCCTGCAATATTCACCCGGCAAGGGTCCGCCCATGCTATGGTGCTAATAATCTGTGCAGGTTGTTGTGGGCTCTCAGTCATCTGGCAAATCGTCCGTACTTGAGAACATTGTTGGCAGAGACTTCTTACCACGAGGAAGCGGTATAGTCACGAGGCGCCCGTTGATCCTCCAACTCATAAATATTCCCAGCGAACGGCACGACAAGCCCGAAAGCGATGAGGTTCATATACCCCATACAGCAGCAAGTGTGGCGGGACAGTATGAGTGGGCAGAATTTCACCATCTCCCTGGCCGCAAATTCGATGACTTCGCCTTGGTTAAGCAAGAGATTGAAGCGGAGACCGCAAGGATAGCTGGAAGCAACAAAGGAATTAATAGACAGCCCATCAACCTCAAGATATTTTCACCGCACGTACTCAATCTTACCATGGTTGACTTGCCGGGGTTGACGAAAGTGCCTATCGGGGACCAACCGTCCGACATTGAAAAGCAAACACGGGCTCTAATACTTGAATACATAGCGAAGCCGAACAGTATCATCTTAGCTGTTTCGCCTGCTAATGTTGACCTTGTGAATTCCGAAGCTTTGAAGCTTGCTCGTCAAGTGGACGCCATGGGTCGAAGGACAATTGGAGTTTTGACGAAACTGGACCTCATGGATCATGGCACGAACGCCATGGACATTCTCTCTGGGCGCGTCTATCCTTTGAAGCTCGGATTTATTGGAGTTGTTAATCGATCACAACAAGACATTCAATCTGGGAAATCACTGTCTGACGCATTGCACGCCGAAGTCGATTTCTTCCGACATCACCCAGCCTATAGGAATATGGCGAACCGTTGCGGTACGCAGTTTCTTGCGAAAACCCTGAATACCACCTTAATGTCCCATATCCGGGATCGGCTGCCCGACATCAAAGCGCGTCTTAACACTCTCATGGGTCAAACTCAGCAAGAACTTGCAAGCTACGGCAATAAACAGTTCAGCGGAAAGGAACATCGTGGATCCCTTATTCTACAGCTTATGACGCGCTTCGCCTCGTCTTTCATATCTTCCATCGATGGAACGTCCTCCGAGATATCAACCAAGGAACTCTGTGGAGGGGCGAGGATATATTATATCTTCAACTCCGTTTTCGGCAATTCTCTCGAAACAATCGATCCTACCCACAACTTAACTGTTACTGATATTAGAACTGCTATTCGGAACTCGACTGGTCCACGTCCGAGCCTATTTGTTCCGGAGCTCGCTTTTGACCTGCTTGTCAAACCTCAAATAAAAATGCTAGAAGCTCCTAGCCAGAGGTGTGTTGAATTGGTCTATGAGGAACTCATAAAGATTTGTCATACGTGCGGCTCGCAGGAATTGCTTCGTTTTCCACGGCTTCAAGCGAAACTGATAGAGGTGGTGTCTGACCTTCTTCGTGAGCGTTTGGGACCGTGCTCAGCTTATGTTGAATCGCTCATTTCCATCCAGAGGGCATATATCAATACAAACCATCCTAACTTCCTCGGTGCAGCAGCGGCTATGTCGTCTGTCATGCAGAACAGGCAAGAACAGGAGAGACGGGCAGCGCTAGCGGATGACCGGAAAAAGCGCGAGAAGAGACGATTGAAAGAACTCGGAGCGGTGAATGGGAACACGCCAGCATCCCCTGAGGATGAGGACGAACAGCATGCAGATCCTAAGACGCAAAATATTCCCATCAGGAGTCAACCTCCGAGAAATACCAGAAGCATGTCCCCTCACTTTGGCAAAGGACAAGAAGGTGGCGTGACCGCAACCTTGAATGGAGCCCATGCACAGTATCATACTGCTTTTGGGACAGCCAATACCACTCGTGATTCGTTCCTTAACTACTTCTTCGGTAAGGACGGCGCGCAACCTACCAGCTCATTGCCTCAGCTGTCGGGACAGAGCCGTCCATATACCAATGTCAATGAAGCAAGCATTAGTCACAGCACTCGCCGGACTGATATACGTTCCCCTATCATGTCAACTGATGAGTTCCCACCTCCTATGGAATTTACCGGTGATGTCGGAGCTGCCGTAAGTTTATCGTACCCTTTGTTACACGAAAGACATGTGCTGATCATCAATGTAGCCGAAGGACGACCCCGAAGCTGTCCTCTCCGACCGTGAACTGTTAGAGACCGAGCTGATTAGTCGACTCATATCTTCTTACTTCAACATCGTCAGAGAGACCATCGCAGATCAAGTTCCTAAGGCTATCATGCATCTCCTTGTCAACCACAGCAAGGATGTTGTGCAAAATAGACTCGTGAGCGAACTTTATAAGGAAGATTTATTTGCAGAGCTTCTTTACGAGGATGATGGCATCAAGGCGGAGAGGGAGAAGTGCGAGAGATTGCTGGATACCTACAAGGAGGCAGCGAAGATTGTCGGAGAAGTCCTGTAACATTATCGATGAAAGAGCAGACTGGGGACCATCAGCTTGCGCTATCAGCCAAGACAATATCCAGCTTCTGGCCTTCTGAAATCCCGGGGTCCGGATGATGTCGCACATTTTTGTATTTATAGTCTGACATATTATCATCACCTGCGGTAATCCACAGTTACATCATGCGGAACAATAGAAGAGCAGTGGTGACGAGTAGTCAATCCAAAGAAACCAGGTGTTGTCTATCAATGGCCATCAATGCGTCGAAGCTAATAGATGTCAGGTCTACGCGGTAATATGCATTCCAATGTATACATATGTTTATAAAGCTCAAGCCAATTCTTGAGGCACATGCACCATCATACACAATATACTCAGATGTATATATATATATATGCACATTTCTATCTTTATGACTGGAAAACCTTCCTGGCCGTATTAATGCCGTGAAAGATAATCCTAGCGAAACATGACTGCTTTAATCGTTTTTAGCAGTTTTCACCTTGGGGCGTGCACCCTCAATGCCATATAAGGCGCCGCCTATAAAAACAAACAATGCGCCCATGAGCACACCTGGTGAAAGGGCATTTCCAAACAGATAGATGGAAAGGAGAAGAGAAACAAGCTTCCGAACATTGAGAACAACGGTGACAGTTAAAGAAGATGACTTTGCGGAGAGGCGATGGACTCCTCGTATGCACAAGTACTGCGTCAGCGCATTAATCAGAAGGTAGATTACACGTGTCGGGACACACGTGAATATTGAGTGCAATTGGAAAATATCTTTCAGAATCGGAATCTGCCCTGATATACCACCGGGTATTGACGCAAAACGCCATCCCTCGCACGACTCTTCCGAGGAACTGATGCCTTCAAGACCGGCCGATGATGCATGGCTCGGAGGACCCATTCCGGTCATGCCCAAAATCTCAGGCCCAGAAGTTGGGGGATATGTCGAGAAAAGCATCCGCCACTGGCTCACAAGTTGTGCATAAGCGGGTAAAAATAGCGGTAGTGATAGGGTGTGAGAGTAGAACAGAGCTTCTTTCCAGTGGTCTCGGCCGTACTTTGCGTAGAGCCTGTCCGCATATATCCCCTGGAAAGCCGAGAGTATCATCGCTAGAGCAAGGATGGTGAACCCAACCAATGTCGTGGTTGCAGAAGTGCTTTCAACATTCATAGACTGGCCTTTAGCCTTGGCATCTGCTAAAGCAGCAGTGACAACACCCAAAGTAAGCATTAGAACCGCGAGTATTTGCCCTCGCGAATATCTCTTAGCATTGAACAAGTAGCCGATGATCATAGACGCTACTGGGCCCCCAGATCTTAGAATGATGTGCAACGGAACTGAGATCCTATAGGCAAAGGCCCAGTTGTTGAGAAGATTGACTGTAACGAAAAACGCTGTGTAGACTAGCCATGATCTTAGTGGAATGGCACGCGGACTAAGATATAGTGAATGAGGTCCCGCTGACACAGAGAGAAAGCCAGGAACCGTTAGGACTGCAGTTAGAAGGAATTGAGCAAACGTTATCAGAGGACCTTGAGCGAAGACGTTAGAGAAACCTGGGATAGGAATGGTTGGTTGATGGAAACTAAATACCAGAGCTTGGCTGGTCTCTGTATAGAAGTCAGTTTCGTTCAAACCCCTATGAATTGCGGACGCACTTACTTGATGATTGCTTCAAGTGCAAAAACCTACCATCTGGCGTCAGTAGCGGAACGTAGCCATACCTGGGCACATACTCACATTGGCGCAACAGCCACCAAAGATCAAGGAGAACATCAAAATTATATTTGTCCATTGAGGCAGTACAGTATGAGTGGTAGCACTTATTACACTTGTTAAGTGCCCAGAAGTGGCACCTGTAGGGCCCATAACCTCATTATTCCTTTTTGCCTGCTTCGGGACCATTTCAGCATCCACATTGTTTATCCCATTACCTGAAGTTAAAGTAGTTTCAAGCTTGTAGTCAGCACCCGGTTTACTCTCTGTCTGTGTCGAAACGGGGTTACGGTCATAAACCGTATCCTTTCGAGCGGACATTTGCTGGCCGTGTTCTGTAGCAGACAAGAGAACGAATTGAGGTCCAGAATGAGACAAGGATAAGGCAGAATTGGAATGAGAGTGACGTGAGACTTGGGCTCTGGTCGAGACGTGATTATGTTATACGTGTTCTTGGGTTGGTTACCTAACAGTAGGTATTACTTACTGTATGTGGTATAGCGTGCATATTCCGGAGAAAGTGACCGCTAAACATTAGATGCTGGCGACCTACTAGCAGCCCCGGCGGCCAGGCATGCTGCTATCCGCCACTAGCAGTCAATCAATCAAGCAATAACCATCTGCCATGATCTACAGGACGTTCCCTTCCTGTTTCTTCTCTCATGGGAGCAAGCATCCCAGCAAATCAGTCGCCTACACTGCATCTGGCTTGATACGCTTAGGCTATTGGGTCGTTAGAATTTCATTGTTGCGAAAAGAATATGTTGGAAGTCTATGTCCAAATCAAAATATGATAATATCAGTAGTCATCTACAATATCATCATCGGCCAAAAACAGCCTCTCCTCTTCCAAAGACGGCGGCAGCCGGGGCCCAAAAGCATTGCTGTGGTATCGACGACTGATTTGGGACGGGCTTCCTGTAGGAGGGCCCTTCCATTGAGCCGTAGATGTGACTGCAGGTAATTCAAAAGTGTTGTCAAGCAAATCAAAGTCATTAGCATCACTTTGACTCTCAGTCCCGCTGAGTTTGACAAGCTTATGGAGTCCTTGGGATTGCTCCATGTCGCCAGCTATTAGAGCCAGATAAGGCAGTTGGTGAAGAATGAGATCACTGCGTGACATCATGGTAACAGCTACAGTTGGTTTACTGCGGCTGTCACTTATGCTAGTGGCCTCCTCAGGTTTGGAGCTCGAGTATGATGGGTCCAATAGTTTAGTAGACCATACATCTATGAGATCTTGTATCTCTTCCATATCTCGAAGCAATCGCAACGAAGCCGGGAAAAGCATTTTATATGCGCTTCTTGTATGGTTCGAGCCGTTATTGGGCCATGCAGATCTCTTCACAGGGCTTGGAAGGGCAAACAGTATACCTCGAGTAGCAACCTGATAACTGAGGTCTTCCTGGCGCAATGAGTCTGACCCGGAGTTGTATCTACTGACACCAGCCAACCCGAGCCTGCTTCGTCCCCTTGTGTCGAAAGACAGCATATCGCTGTCGGATAATGCACCTATGCATTCATCCAGGTAGTCTGTAAATGATAAACCATTGCATGACGGAACATAATTCTCGTGAAGAGCGCAAATAAAGGTTTGATTATCGGTTCCGGCTTCATCCACAAGTTCGTTGACACACACTTGGGATAATTGTGGCCGCTTATGGTGGCTTAAGTAGTCTGGGGGCAACACAACTTGGGCACCTTCAGTTGAACCGGCATCGACACGTTTGTTATACACAACCTTGCCAATGGCGTGAAATAGCCCAAGACTCGCTTCTCTCTGTGTAACTAAATCCAATGTCTCCCTTTCAAAGGCCGTAAGAGGTATGCTAGATCCTTTCGAATTCCTAGTTTTGGGGGGTGGGAACTTCTTGAACCCTCCAGAATTCATGCAAAGAAATTCCAAGGACGAGATTGCACTTCGAATGTCCCCGATAGTAGAGATATTATGGAGTATGGCAGGGCCCGGAAATCTCTCACGTTTGGAAAGCCGAGCCTCCTTTTCTAGCACGAGATGCAAAGCCTTGTACATAAAAGTCGGGGCTATGCTATTAAAATCAAGGATGCTCGTTTTTGGGTGATTGTAGAGTACTGGTCCTAGCAACCGATGGACTGTTAGGCTATCTGAAGGAAAAGATCGTGAGTTAAGAAGTGTCTCTGACACGATCAAGACAATCGGGGAGTTTCGTTGCACATCAGTTTCAGAATCAATGTTCTGTTGTGATGTTCTGTCAAGATACCGCAGAAGAGCTAGTCTGAACGGTGTTAGGCCAGACGCAGAACCTGTAAGCGTTGGAAACTCCTCTATGAGAATTATGCGCTGTCGCGAAGCATCCGCACTATTGCCATTATCTCCAGGTCCGGGAGAGCTAGTCACCTCATCTAGGTCGAGTCCTTTAAATTCGTTCCCACGCTCCAGGAAGTCATCAAAACGGGAAGCAATTGATACATGTGCTTTGGTGGCAGACTCTGATGAAGATGGGTTTTTCCATTCGAGAATGTCGTATTTCAACACAGCTGATAGTAATGAAACTGTAGCCGTCTTACCGCTTCCTGCAGGACCTCGAAGGACAAGTAGCTTGTCTTCTGTCAGAAAGGAATCAATGTAGCGAAGCATAGTGCTAGACAATTCTTCCTTCAACTGATATGGAAAAAAGCACGAATGGAAAAGACAAAAAACAAAGTGAGGGGAGAGAAAGGCTGGTAGCTTACCTGTCGCTCCCCTCTGGCAAATGTATTGATTAACCAGCTTTTCACATCAGAAACCTTCTTGTGGTGAACCGCCAATTCTTCTATACTGGATGGAGCAAACTGCTGCGCCCATGGCAAGGTTCTATGAGCGGGTTGTAAAGAACGTGGTCTGGATTTAGGCTGCTCGGTGGAAATGAGAAACCGATTGGCCATCCCAGCAGATCGTTGCCTAGGTTTGGAAGTTTTAGTTGAATCATTTTGGTCCGAGGGAGTTGTCCAACCGCCCGCCAGAGTATCAGTATCGAAGGTGATGTGGCGCGTGAATATCTCATCAAACGAATCATAATCATCTTCAATTATTTCGTTGCTGCTTTCTTTCCCATCTGTAGATTCTAGATCTTGCCTATCGCCAATTTCTCGCACAGGCAATTGCTGTTTGGGGTTTGCGGGGCCATAGAAGCTATGTAGGGAATTATTCGTCTTTGTAGCATCCAACGAATGCTTGCGTTTCATTTTTCTTGCTTATTCGCGGTCTGCAAGGTAAATAGTCCGGAGCCAATGAAGAGACTGGGAACTGGCTGTGGTGCTCCGTACAATCGAGAAGGGCAGGTAAGCAACACTTTAATCTGAATCCTGGGCCTCCCGATCGAATGACAGTCTAGCTAATTCCGCTGACTTTTCGCGATGGGACAAGCAATTCATGACCATTTGATATGATGGATGCGAGAAAGCAGATGAGTCACTGAGCAAGATCCGCTTTTGACATTGATATGTCGAGCTAGAGGCTGACATAGAAGTATAAACAAGGAAGCTGTATGATATAGGTGGAATATTGCAATGCGGAATCGAACTCCTGCTACTCGTTACCGCCTACACAGAGCTTAGGTACTGCACTTTCTGCGCGCACGAGCCTCTCGCCCGCCGCATTAGCCTTTATCTGGTATGACTTGGTGGGCCAGTGTCTGGACGCGGACGCGTCTGTGTCCCTTTGTAGTTTGGCATGTGCTTATTTAGCGCCACAGATTAGAGATGTTAACCCAACGGAGTAGATGACCAATGCACTGTATATTGTATGACTTCCCCCGCTCATGATCACATTGAGCCCGGCGGAATTTTTGAGCGGAGCTTACATGTCGCTGTTCTTGAAGTAACTCATTTGCAGGTATTAGAGATTAAGTCGAGAATTACACGAGACAATCGAAATGGACGATGGAAAAAGGCTCATGGACAGAGGGAAAAGAGAAAGGAAGAGAGATACCACATATCCCCTATCTACAGAGCATATTAGTTCGAGTATATAAGATGCAGTGTTCTAGCAGCTGATTTCGCCGAAGAGTACTAATAAATATTCCAACCGATTCGGTAGCCCCTGTACATCCACATTATCGTCACTCAAAACACCCTCCACACGGATGGAGATGTCTCGCAAATATTTGTTTTTGAATAACAGTGTCAGTGTCGAAAAGGAGCTCGTTATTATGAGCCACCAAAGACGTCATAGTAGTAATTGTCATCAAGGCCATCTCGCGTGGGAACTTGGGGCGCTTCACCCGCGAAGGCCACATCATCAAAGCGAACATTCAACAAACGGATCTTGAGCCCGTAATCGCTGACCAAACTTATAAGCTTGTTTGTCTCTGCAGTTATAGGCTGCTGGTTGAGAAGCATAAGCAAACCATCAAGCCATTCAGATGCGACACTGGTTGATTGTGGACAGAAACTCAACAGCGCAGATTCACCTTGCACTGATCTGCTCGAGGTTCGGCGATGGCCATTACTTTTCTGGATGTCCCCAGTCCCGTGTACAGGCTGCGAGTAGCCGTGCACGGTAATCTTAGTATAAGATACAGCATGAGACATGTCCTTTGCAGGCTCCGCTGACTGATCGTTGGATGAAGCAGAGACATTAGAGACCACTGAAGATACCGACGAGAGGTCGACTGAAGTAGTAAAGCGCAGTCAGTCTTTGAATTCAGAATAGAACAGACCACGCATCGACATCAACGAAGCAAACTTACTCTTCTGGGGTAAAGTATCGAGCTCTGGACACCTCTCAAGAATGGAATTGAAATCACCAAAGTGTAAGAACCTCCTGTTGTGCGAAAGTTGAGCATATTTCCATGAGCGTTGCTCGGTTCCCACGTCTGAGCTATCAGAGCCCTCGTTGAGGAACCATGCGCCGTGCAACAGACAGCGGATTCTCTGTTCTTTAACAAATTGAAGTGCTTCGTGATACAATTCTTCGCGCATCTGCTGCAGGTGTTGGCCCCAGGCATCTTCATACGTGAGCCCCAACAACTCCATTTGCAATTCGCGGAGCCGACCATACTCGAAGTTGGTCAACTCTTCTTCCACTTCTTGCACATCCTTTGTCCGAGGTGCTCCACCAACAACAGACTCGATCAGGATTCGGACAAGCTCAACGATCTTTCCGTAATCTTCGACTTCCGCTCCGGTAGCCTTCCATAGACGAAAGAAAGCATGTAATCCTGCTACATGCAATCTGGTCCAATGCAACAGTAGAGGCTCGAACAACTTGTCAAGGTTAGAGCGAGACTCTAGTAGAAGATAACCCTTGGAATCATCCATTTCCGATTTGTCCACCTCAAAATGCTGGTATAAGATCGAAGTGACTGACAGTGAGGCACGGGCAATGGGACATCGCTGCTGAGGAGGCTTCGTAGACTGCTCCAGGAGCATTTTTTGGAACTCATCTTGATGATTTCTGACATAGTCTGCCAAATCCATCATGCCCAAGAACCCGGTATCCTCAAACTGCATCGAAGGACTCTCCGTCTCGAAACCAAGACGCCTCCACTTCTCAGAACTGTGTTTCTTAGACTGTTTCATCTCATCACCATTCTCGATGCCCTTTTCTTGGCTCCGCTCATGCGAGCTAGCCACATAGATCCCTTTCAAGGCTCTCCTGTGCTCTGGCCTCTCGAGATCTAAGGGTATCTCTCTCCATTTCCTCAGAAGAACTTTGGTAAGAGACTGAAATTCTATTAATGGGTGCACGTGATCCTGCAGTGCAGTACCTTGCATGAGGGAATAGACTGCTCTGATCACACCGAGATCTTGCAGCTTTTGAATAAACTTTGGCCACTCCGTATCTGCCTCATTCGTGATAGAGTCGCGCATGAGCGAATTAATCAACTGAAGTGCATTTGCGCAGAGGGCATGGTCTGCAGACGAAAGTCTATTGACAAGCATTTCCAGGAATTGCGGATAAATGGCAATTGCGGGCTTCAATGCACGAAAGCCAAAGTTTCCATCTTGTGATAAGTGATTACCTGAGTAAGGATGTGACACTATGGAAACTAATATAGACATTGCACCCCTTAGGATGTTAACCAATGGGTGAGTCACTATGAGTTCAACAACCTGGAAAGAAAAGACGGTACGATATATCAGTATGTTACTATATAAGGTGGTTTGCGGGAGTATATTTTAAAAAAGACGGAGAGCTTGTTCAAGTTACCTACTCTTTCAACCATGTCTTGGTCTACTAGATCCCAGCCTTTGTCAACTTCTAGTATTCTGGCGAAGCTTGTGAGGCTATATGCCAAGGTGTTACCACTTGCATGCAGAGTCAAGTAGCGTAACCTAGTGAGTCCACCTTCTGCGATGAAATTATCGGCAAAGGAGGGATCCCCAATGCTACCTTGGAGTTTAAAAACTGCCATTTTGCGCACCGCATCTTCGTCACTTCCTAACCTCTCAACCAGCTCAGAGATGCTGGTTTCCATGATGGGAAGTAGTAGTAATGTGGCCCCTCCGGTCGCAATAGAGCACGGGCAATCGTCAAAGCGAGGGTATGCCAATCAGTAGCCGTACCCGTTCTCTGACCAATTTTCATACAAGCTGTAGATTCCGAGTGGCATGGCCCTGTAAGGACTTCAGGAAACGAGGCTCAAGGGAATCAGCACCTTCCACCGGTTGAAAGAGAATAAGGGAGGGTGGGTTGCCAAGAGATCCAATAACGGAACTCCGCACTTGGACTAGATCGAAACCGGGCAAGTTCGACCCATTAATGGACTCCAGGATATGTAGCTGACCTGCGATATAATTTAAACTTGACTACTTGTGTATCTGCGTATCGGGGGCCAGGGGCCGGGAGTAAAGGTCCAATTGCTGTCATCTACTCCATCAAGTGAATTGGGTGGCGATCAAGGAGCTTTGGCGAAATGATCATTTTTACATGACCTCGTATTTAGCTGTAACCTGCAATCAGGGGACATAGTGCGTCACAAATTCGAGCGGATATCTAAAAGGGGCCCGAAAATGTCCTTGGCATCTCCTTGCCATCCTACGCAGATAATTAAGTACGCTGGTTTCTCGGTCATTATGGAGGGGTCCGTCATTGGAAAATGTCGGCTATTTGACAGGAGGAACATTCAAACGATTTGATAGATTTATTGGTTCACTTGTACGTGAGGGGCCTGGAATTACAACGATGTTCATTCAACACTTGCAAATTGATGTTTCATGCAGGATGATATGGCAGGCTAAGATCTGCAGGGGTAACAACCTAAGCATTGGGCAACTGGACTGTGTATTGGTCTATTTTACGGAGTACGCTCTATCTCATAACTACGCTTCAGTGCATATATCTCAGACGTTCCCTCCTAGACACCTAGAGCTTTGAAAGACACGCAAGTTGATATAGAGTAAATAAAGTAGATAGTTGCTTTTGCTTCCACTTTCGGTTAAAAATACGAGAATCCACTACTAAATTCAGGCGGAGAATAAAGAGACTTTCAGTGCCATAGTTTCGATGCGAGTGAGCACTTGTTTGTATACAATGGGGTAGTAGAAGGGTACATCAGAATATAGATAGAGTTCATAAAGATCGTCGAAAAAAAAAGACGTCCCGGGAGAGGATCGAACTCTCAACCTCACGATTAACAGTCGTACGCGCTAACCTTTACTAGGTGTTAGTAATCTACTCATTGGAGTGAAAATTGTCTGGGATCACGCTTACCAATTGCGCCACCGAGACCGGCTATACACAGCATGTTTCAAATAATGTTAGATATTCTAGTGAGGAGGATGCAAGAACGATTCGTGCTCAGTATTTGGCCGTTCCGCCATGTCATATGGACGTAGTAGTATTGCTACGTAGTAGTCTGTCACTTGGTTAGATATTCTCATCTGTACCGCACGGCTACTTCCTTAGGCATAAAAGCATAGCGCAGAAGGACTCCCTTCTAGTACATAATTGTTGCATGATGACGCTTTCTTGTTACAGCAATCACTTCTCAGTCGGCCACGTCGAGGATAGTCATACTAGCCGAAGGGTAGTGTGCAGCACTTTTTGGAGTACAATTGGGGCGCATGAATAAGATTAGTCTTGCTATAAATGGAATCTGCAAAGTACTAAGTATTATAATTTAGTAGTCAGCAATTTCTAGTCCGCTTTAGGTTAGTTACCCTTACTGGCTTCAATCCATTGTTACTTACAAGGCTGTTCATTCAGGTGGAAAATAGCAACAATTGCCACGCACCAGGATCTTTCAGAACCACATGGAATGTTTCACCTGATTTGAGTGAGATAACTATCAAGCGTCCTTACTGTTTCATTCATCGAAGGCCACCCTCGCCCTTTTATCTTGTGGTGGCTTCTTCTTCTCGTGCATCATAACAGCTTGCATTCATTGAGGTTCTATTTTTAATGTTGTGGCCACTTTCCTTTCTTGCTTTATGACATTCTATCTTCCTCCGCCGACAATTCAGTCCGAATATTGTACAGCGACGACATTTTATGATCCCATGCCACACCTCCCAATCGTTCAATGCAATGCCTCTATCACGGCCCAAAACATAAGAAAGCGAAAAAGAGAAACAGCTTTGGAAGATATTACTCCAGCTCTATCAAACAGGTTTGTAATCTTAACAATGAAGCGGCCTGTATCGCTGAATGCAATCAGAGGAAGTGGCTAACTCATATCATTGATTAATTAGGCTTGCCTCATCGGCCCTTCATGATACGAGCCCGCAATTCTGCTTAGACAATACAGCATGCTTAGGCGACAGCGCAGGGGTCTTCACGCGCCAGCGATGTCTCCACAGGAAACGACGAGTTTTCCAGCAGCCACCTGCTTACCATAAGCCACCGTTCATAGACGGTATCTCTCACATACTACAGTCAGATTCGTCACAAGACACTTACATTTCTGGAGTCAGCTCTCCGCCCGTGTCTCCTAAAACAATCCCCCCGACCTCATATCAGCAACCGCAAACACTATTCGCATCTGCGTCCTGTCTCCGCCCATGTCATATCTGCCACCGGAGACCGACCACTCGAGAATATGTTGACGCCTATGCAGACTGTGATCTTTGTGGTGGGAGGAGCTGCTACATTTGTTTACGGCATTGTGACTCTGTAGACTGCAGTGGGTTACTCAGGACCCCTACAAGCGGCTGTCAAGAAAGGCCGGACGACGACGAATGGCAGGCAGAGCGGGCACGAAAAGTTTGCTCTGCCTGTGCGGTCGAAGGTGTCACCGAATCGGGAAAAGAAGTAATAAGATGCCTTGAATGTGTACAAGGCCTTCAATCCCAATGGCAGGCTCTTCATCTAGACTAGGGGAGCTTCATGCGGCTTTGGAACAGACCCTGCTTGAATAACGTGAGACAGTGGTCTGTTATCCGCTGGCGGACTCATTGAGGGTTTTCTCGAAAGACACTCTGTCCGAACCACTAATGTGTAATTATAGAAGATAGAAATTTTGATACCCAACTTAGCAGACTAAGTAATAATGACTTATATCATGAGGCATCCCCATACTTCCTGGTACTTACAAACAATGGCAATGGTTGATGGGGCAGATGTACAGCGACGAAGCACACCAAAAGACTGGTTGTATGTTCTCTAGCCAACGCTGCACCTCATTGGGGCATTACCAGTTATTGCCATGTCTATTCGATTCTCGCACCCCACGTATCTTATTCTCGGGAACGTATAATACGATTATCCATTCATAGATATGCTGAGACTAGTGCCTGCTTACTCTCTTTCAATTAATAGATCATGGAATAAGACTCCAGTATATAATAAGGGTCACTTTGGACAGTCACGAGGAAAGGTATTGCCATCAACGGCCAAACCTCATCTGAGCGCCGGCGTAGTGCCAGAGGCCCCTGAGGAACCCGTGGTACTCAACAGCCTCGTCGGAATTCGTTATCCCACTATTCCTACCGCCGGTGCAGTACATTTCGGTGAGGCGGATATGCCAAGGCGGGTATCCATCCAACTTCAAGAACGGACCAAAAACAAGCAGAAGATCAGGCTCAGGCTTCACTAGGGAGGCATTACGGCTGAGGCCCATTCTTGTGCTGCCTTGATTGACAGGTGCTGTCGGTTGGGTTGGCTGAGTGGTGATCTCACTAATCTCTGCATCGACCAATTCCATAGTAATGTCCTCTGGGGACAATTTACCAGTTTGGGACATCTCCGCCAAGGTCTTGGTCAAGTCAACAAACGTTTCCCTGCCATCAGTCGCAGACAGGAGAAGCACTGTGAGAGAACTGGCGTTGTGTCTGTCAGACGGCGGAACATCTTGCTGTGTATTATAGATAGGGTGGTGAGGAGCAAACAGCCGCAGTGTAGGTTGCTGCGCCGGAGACCCATAGTAAGATGACAACTTGCTCGTGATAGCTTGGTGAAGGACGGGGATGCAGGACTTCAAGATACCTATATAGATGCATAAGTTGTTAGCCCCAACCTTGCCTTCCATTTTTTCCCCCTTTCTTATCGTATACGTAGAGGTCTTAGGGGTCTGAAGCCATCACTTACCGGTCTTCTCGTAGACACTTAGGACAGGTATCCCAGAACTCACGCTCCAGGCTGAAAGTTCCGCCACTTCATCCATCAAGATTGCTAGGGCATCGTCTTCTTTGCGTAGTGATAATATGACGCTCAGATGTTCGGGTAAGCGCTTCAAGCCTTTCACATCCTTTCGTAGTAACTCTGGTGTTCGGTGATGGTAATAGACGATGGCGAAGATTCGATCCACAACAGCATGGTAGCTCAAAATAAGACGAGAAAAAATCCCAAAGATGATGTGAACAACGGCGTATGTGAGTAGATGCAGCTGCGACTTGATAAACGTCCGTATTGGTGTCTTTCGAGGAACCTTCTTGCGCCGCTGAGTTGGTCTGCGTGGAAGATCAGACGGGTCTGGCAGATATGGCCTTAGCAGTTTCTCGCGCTCAGCAGCATTGAGCTTCGTTCCTCGAGAGCGAATATCATCCCTGAACAATTCTCTATCACGCTGCGTAACCATGTTTTATTATCTGTGAGCGCTAGCGCAGGGTTACTCCCAGATATTTTGATTATGTTAAGGAGATGTAATTTGTATGGGTATTAGACAGTAGTTCGGGAGTCCAGGCGGCGGTGGCAGTGGTAGTGGTGGGTCCCAAGGACCGGATTCGATTCGAGCTTGGGAAATCCCAAGTGCTCCTCTGTACAAGATCGGTAACTAGCTGGAATACGGAATACTCCATATTCATACAATGTGTGTAAAGATAGGTGTATCCATGCACATGGCATTCAAGTTGGCAGTGCTGGTATCGATGCGCCAGTCTACTCCGTAAGGTGATCTAATTATATATCTAGTCCTGCGATATCAGTGCCAACGGCCATCCTAGAACTAGTGACTATTGGTTGACAAGAAGGACCCGGACTATGGATGCTGTGTGAAGAAATAGTACTCCTAGGTGCAGCTTAATATACCATATTTATCTACTATATCCCCTGGGTTTATTCGAAATATGTTCTTACTTCTCCTCGTTGGTAACAACAAATTGAATTTAGCAGGGAGGTGGTAATGTTTGTTTCGTCGTTCAGTAGCTTATTGAAGCTATGCAGTTATGTAATCCGCTAGACCAGAAACCCATCTATCCCGTCCTCCCGATAATGGACCACCTATCTAGTACTCCGTAGTTGGGCTGCCCCGTAATTCTTGTTGCTCCTCTCTCCGCATTCACGGCGCAATCAAGGGCATCGGTTGACGCTCACTGTGAAGTCCGGATTGCACAACAATCCATGCTGATATCAATGCAGATAGACCCGGCTTTTAGTTATAAAGATGCCGGACGATGCGTCCTCGATTACCCCACTCAACGCTGCATCTCGATCAGTGTTCCCAACAGGTCCCAGCTTCACCCTTGAGGACTTCTCAAGTCGCGACTTCATTGTTAAGGAGTTTATCGAGGCGCTGTCGGACTCCGCCATTTCGAATCGTCGTTCTACAATCACGCCTACAACCGGAAACCAACCGTTTGACCCGAAGCCACTTATCAGGACCCTTGAGCACGCACAGCGGCGCCTCGGTGAAATCTCCGGCGACCTAGAGATCAGAGAAAATGAACTGTCTGCAGCAGTTCGCAGGGCTGAGGCACAGCATTCCCAGAACCTCAATACACTGGGTAAGAAGCTAAAACAGACAATCGAGTCTTTTCAGCAGCTCGACACCTCGCTCAATGGTGCCGGGCTATCAGGTGTAGAGCTTGCCGGGGGCACCGGAAATATGGCTGTCGAGACTGGAAAGAAATTGGAGGAATTAGACCGCCAAAGACGCCGGGCGCTTGATGCCCGCTTTCTGCTCGAGTGTTGGGATGGTGTGAGCAACAGGGGCGAGCTAACGCTTCTAGAGAACCTAAGACGTTCCGGAACTGGTGAGGCTAAGGTACGGTCGGCACAGATCGCGCGGCAACTGCTTCGAATAAGTCAAAGACTTGATACCGAGAGCTGGAACGATTCGAGTGGAAGGTCCGCTGGGCTCCCCGGAAATGGAGTTATATCTGCAGACGATAACATAAATGGGAAAGGGAATGGGACCAGACGGAACACTCGTGAAATCATCGAGAAGTTCTCTGAAACTTTGGAGAATGATTTGTTAAAGCAATTTGACGACTTCTACCGCAAGGCAAATTTTGAAGGCATGAAGGACTGCGCAACTGTACTTCAGGATTTCAACGGCGGTGCAAGCGTCATTGCTTTATTCGTCAACCAGCACCAGTTCTTCATCGATCGAAGCCAGCTAGTTACAGAAGAAGTAGGGGGCGATCTAGAGACGTGGGAGATGCTCGCAGACCCCGATGCTGAACCTCTGAAAGTGGAACCTAGCCTTCAGTCTTTGATCGATGAAGTCAAGGTCGTAGTGCAAGAGGAATCGGCCATCATCCGGCGAGCCTTTCCATACTATGAGCAGGTCCTCGGGAAGTTTTTGCAACGCGTGTTTCAGCAGTCTATTCAGCAAAGATTAGAAATGGTCTTGGAAAAGGCAAACAGCGTTTCATCACTAGCATTTCTACGATCCTTACAGAGCTCTCGAAGTTACATCAGTGCTCTTGTTGATGATCTGAAAAGCCATGGGCTGACGGAACACCCGGATCCAATCTCTTCACAAACGGCTTTAGTCCTTGACCAGCAGTTGGAAGACTTGTTCGTACCTTATTTCGTTGGATCGTCATATATAGAGAGGGAGAAGAGGACACTGGAAGAACTCTATACGTCCTTGCTTTTCAAGTTCACTACTTTTCATGCACGCAGAAAAAAGGCAGCAACAACTTTCATGGCATCCCTTTCCAAATCCGGTACTGAAATGCTTTCTTCGGCTCGTGACGCATATTTGAGTCGTCTGGAGTCTTCGGAATTTCCTCCAACCCAAAGAAGATTGCTACTCCAAGTGGCAGGATTGAGAGAGTCTAGCGACCTCTCAAAACCTACTGACATCAAACTGACCGAAGAAGACGGCATCCCAAGCATATCTTCTGCAAAGCGGATGCTTAAGTGGCTTGCCGAAGCAGTTGGCAGAGGCTTAGAGCTTAGCGTTAATAGTGAAACACCCAAGGATATGCTTGCACTATTGACTCTCCTTCTTTCAGTAATGGGAGAAGGGTTCATTGAAGTGTCTCTAGATGCCGCACTGGAAGCAGCAACATCGCAAGAGTCTGGGAAAGCAGAGCCAGATTTTGCATATTTACCAGCCATTCGGAATGCTATTGGTATTGCAAACTTGATGGTTATGTGCATAAATACTTTACTCATCCCACTTGCGGCGGGTAGTATTACCATCCGGCGGGAGATGGAGAAGAAAACAAGTCACATCACTATGCGCATAGAAGAGAAGATCAACATACTTGAGCAGAAGGTCATTGACAATACACTAACATGGACTGGCAAACTCCTGTCTGGCCAAAAGAAAAACGATTTCCGACCCAAGGAGGGGGATAGTACGGCTTGGTTAGAAAAGCTACAAACACCTGTGAGTTATGATGATAAGGTCTACTTTCAACCTCTGGCAGGCCATGCTAATCTATCTTAGACCTGTGCTACAATCTGCACATTCCTGACTCGTGTGCATAACGTGGTGAAGACATCCTTGCCGCCCAGTGGCTCCAATATTCGCCAACTGCTGACAGAAATTGCCATTGGAACACGCACTCTCCTGCTGGATCATTTCAAACGGTTCGTTGTTAATGGGCCCGGCGGGCTTATGGTTACCAAGGATATGACGCAATATACGGACCTCCTTAAGTCCTGGGACACCGAGGAACAGGTCAAAGGACCAAGCGGCACGCTGGACGTACTGCTGGAAGTGGGCAACCTCTTTGTTATCGGCTCTGAAGCTTTACGCGAAAGAATTCGTGGTGGTACAGGGAGTGGTACTGGTGGAAGCGCTGGAAATAATACTGGAAATAGCCCAGGCCGAAGCCTCGGGGGTTCTGGCCAGACGGAAACGGGTCTTAGCGTCCAGGAGGTCAGGGCGTATGTTTCCCGCAGAGAAGATTCCAATACAGCTGCGCTGCAGAGTGTCCTTAATATTCTGTGATAGGGAACAGTGTGGACACAGCCAATAACTATGGATAATGAAGACTTGACCGTGTTAGACTCCGTACGGAGTATATCTCCAACCAAGGCTAATAATCTATGTAGTGTACTAATATTCTTTTCCTTCCTTCTCTGTCTTCTGTTGTTCCCCCTCTCTTTCTTCTCCGACTTAGAGGGGAAATGAAAAGGGGGACGGGCATGCCCGGCGCCTTACCCCTTTACTAGTCCGAAAGCTAGTCAGCTAGTGGCAGGATTGACAATCTACTTTAGTTGATGAACTACATAATGCAATCAAGGAGGAGGGAATTGACTTGATAGTATAAATGGCGTCAGATTCTTATGCTCCAACCTATTAATCTTGTCCTTGTATATTAATTAACTAATTTTCCTCCGCCGGATAGATCCTCTTCATGATTGAATGAGGAACCTAGGCTTTGCTTCTTCGTAGTTAGAGTTAAGTACAGATTTATCCCGTATATAACTCGTACCCGCACTACTGCGGAATAATAATGATGCCTGCATATAACTATTTTTCCCATGAGCCCCACTTGTCGATTAGCAAAAGCTAGTTCATGTATCCGAAGTTACCCTGTAGATAGTGTTGCCCATGACCAGGGTGAACCCGTTGAGCTGCTAAGGGATTCCTACTATTTTCGGCGCTATTTCGATACTATTGGAGACAATCCATACCTCCAGGATCCTTGATAGATAATTTCAATACTTGTACAAAGTCAAAGGGCCCATCCGGTAGTACTCTTCCCTCGAAGTCCAGCAACCATAGCACCGCATTTTTCGCATTATTTCCTCTACAGAGAACTGGTTGTGTAAACATGAACGTCTTTTCCATTCCAGAAGAATCAGCTTACTTGTAGTAAGTGCAACCCCTCACATGAGCTGAGGCATGATGATGTTCGCGATCAAAAGCTTGACAAAGCAGAGCGCTTAGTGTGGGCTCATATATAATAGCGTCTGCATTCTTTTGTTGTTGTTTCTTTTCATTTTTATTTTATTTATTTTTCTTTCTATCTTTATTTTTTTTTTTATTGTTTAGCTTTTCCCTGCACGGTATTGATCGCAATGACTCGAGGATACCCTCACTATTGACTCTAGCTTTCAGGGGCTTACCTTCTTCAGTTCGCTTGATAGATGCATTTCAAGCCTAACCAACACTAGTTGCCCATAGAGGCTAGATTATAACTCTGAAGGATATTCGGAGCACATGTGTACATGCATTCAATCCCATAGAGGCTCTCGTGGGAAATGATACTCTTTCCAAACCCTTCGTAACCCCAAAACCGCCTCCTATATCACTAAGCCTGTCTTGTCGACATTCAGCCATTTCAGACGTCAAAGATCAGTCAGTCTCATATGATAAAGACGCTGAAACATCACCTTCGGAGTACAATATTCATCTTTCACCGTTCCATCTACGAGTAATTTCACGCCGACATGGATAAACTTCCTGGTGATGTTTTGCGGTGGTTTGGTGAGGAGCATGACCTTGATCTTGCCCTCGACAAGGATCCCACCAACTACGTCAACTCACCAATGAAGATGCCACACCGAAAACCGAAGAGACCCTGCATCAGGAGGACATTGTCTTTGACTTCAGCCACTCTTATTCGACAACCATCGTTTGCTGCTTCGCACAAGAACCACCGCCATTCCAGCCAGTCTCCCGTCACGTCGTCCTTCTTTACCAACCTTCTTACTCGAGAATCCAAATCTCGTCCGCTATCGAGCCAAGCGCAAGGCGATCATGGTCTCCAATCATCTTTTTGCAGTATTGATCCGGGTGCTCAACATTACCAGGATCCAGAAGCGCGCCTCAAACTACGACTCTACCTAGCATCCCCGCATAATTTCGACGAAGCCATCGAGTTCGGCTTTCCGGCCCCAGCGGATGAGGACACGACATCAGGGCTGCCCGGTGTACTAAAGCAGAGCCCAAAGCCCCAGAGTAGTAGGAGAAAGGTATACCCAACTGTGGCTAAGAATGCAGACCTTGTCACAGAGGCCAATGTTACTATATCAGACGCCGTACAGCCGCCCCGGCTCTTGGAGCATCCCATCTCAGACAAGCATATCTCACCGAGTGACACGCAACAATCTTGTTCAGGCGATAAGGGCATTGGCAAGCGGCTTGATCCGACCAATCGCGAAATGACGCTGAAGATGACGTTGACACGACCTGATCTTCGAGCAAGCTCCTGGGAGGCCGTTTCACCGGTTACTCCGGTGTCTACCGAGTCATCTTCAGCAGAAGGAGACCCACAAACTCGCAATGCTGATGAGAATATACGACTCAAAATGAAAAATGTATGGTGCAAGCTTAGGGTATGGAAATAGGGCTAGATTTGCAGATGAAATGTATGTTATGAATGAGTATGTCATATCGTTACCTTTTTAATGGCTCATCTATTGTAGTCTTCTTTTACTGTGTTTTATGATATGTCATGTTCTATCCAGTTTGCTTGGTGAGCTACTGCTGCCTCCTTTTGAGAGTACTATTAGCATTGGAGTATGGCTATCCTCTCATTTATATAGATTTAAGACTGCTGTGGCCCTTCCCTGGGCTACAATGATGCAAGGCACTGCTCGCCTATACCAACAAGCATATAATAAGATACTATTACTGTTGTGCCTCGCCGCCAATCGCTTCTCCACATTGGTTCAAGTATTGCGTATCTATGCTCGTTATGCTCGTTAATGTATGAGACTTACCCTCCTTGTACCAGTAATCCCACATCGATTTGGTATATCCATATCCCTGCTTGTACGAGATGCGCGCGATCTATCTCGCACCCTAACATAGTATTGGTGACAGGCCAGTAACAACCTAAATTATACGCCAAGACAGTGGGTTATTGACTCACTATAAGCACATTTCCATAATCAAAGGGCAGGAAAGTCATGTGCTAATAAGCGCAATAATCTTCACGGTTTCTATTATAATATATATATATATATATATATATATATATATATTGGAATTGAGTCACTAGGGATTGTCGGACTGTATGCAGTTTATGGTTCCCTATAGCACAAATGTCATCTCATAAGAAAAACCTTATTAGTTATACTTTGGTATCCGAATATGATCGGAATATGGCAGTAAGCCAAATTCTGGTTGCACCAGCAGACTCGGAGATCATCGCTGCGATGACAGTCTTTGCTATACCTTGCTCCCCAAATTAGGAACTACGACCTGCCTTACACAATGTGAGAAGAGGACCGCTAGAAGCTAGGACCTTTTGATGGTTTCAATCGATTACTTGCTTAAAAGAAAAAAGGTGCTTAGATACCGTGACATTAGAAGGCCACTAAATGGCTCCAAGAAAGTTCATATTGTATTATAGTGTAGGAATGGTGGTCGAATGTCGCATGGTTCCAGGAAATGAATTAACGTTTTCGAAGACCCCGGATCCGGCCAATTCTGGGTCAGGGTTCATCTACTCCATACGTCAAGCGCGCGCGCGCCCGGCTGAAACCGAGGTCTAGACGTGCTGCGATAAGCATGCTGACCACGTGACCGTGGGAGCTTCCCTGCGGCCACGCAGCTGCAGTGATCACCGAGACATTATTCCCTGCTTGTTCATCAACCGGAACATCCTCGGCCTCAGACTACCTATTGACAAAGGATACATCATATACTTGATTTGTATCAACTGTGTTTTCAGCAGAATCTTCTATTCAAAGCAATCATCCGGCCACATTTGCCGGTTATCAGCTCTTACGCCCTTCAAATGTGTTGTACTCCACGGCCATGATCTTTCGATGGCTCGTGCTGGTGAGCTGCCTTTTGGTGGCTCTTATTCCCCAGCAAAGCTCTGCGAAGAAATCCGATCAACCGAAGGTCACGGCGACCAAGCTTGAACATGAACCCTTCTCTCTCTTCTATTTCGAGGACTCAGAAACTGTTCTTATGAGCCTGAAGAATGGAGACTTCAAACAGTCTTTTGACGGGGGGGAGGAATGGGAAGACGTGGTTAGCAGCGAGGATGGTAGTGTGGCACAACCGGTGGTTTTCATACGACAGCACCCATTCGACAAGAATAAGGCTTATGCTCTCGGTTTTAACGGACATCACTTGGTCACAACGGATCAGGCCAAGACGTGGAGATCGTTCGATATAGGCGACCAGCCGGCTTTACAGCATCAGCCCCTTGTTTTCCATGGTTGGGACTCGAGTAAGGTCATATACCAAAGCGAAGAATGTGCCGGGTTTTTCTGCATTGTGAGGTCGTACTACACGACTGATGATTTCAAGACCGTTAGGCTGTTGCGGGAGAGTGCGGCAGGGTGCTCCTGGGCAGTTGGGCACCCTCACTTCGCTGAAGATTTGAATATGAACCAGGAGTTGAAGGACAGATCACTGTGTGTCGTTCCTGGGTTGAAGGTGCCCTTTGGACACGCCAACCGCTTGGTATACTCGGATGATTACTTCGTCAGTAACATCGAAGGCACGGAGGTGAACTTACATGAGGGCCGGCCTGTCTCCGGTGTTATTAGCACAGCCGCTGTCAAGAAATTTATTGTGGCCGCCGTCAAATCGAAGGGAACAGAAGAGCTTGCCTTGTTTGTGACAACGGATACGAATACCTGGCATCGAGCCGAATTCGATGGGCATCGGGTAGAGCAGGACGCGTATACAATGTTGGAGAGCACCAACTATAGCCTGCAGGTAGACGTCCTGACTAGCCCATCCAGCAACATGGGTGTCCTATTCACTTCCAATTCGAACGGCACATTCTTCAGCCGCAATATTGAACACACCAATCGCGATATGGAAGGAACCGTTGATTTCGAAAAGATTGCTGGCATTCAAGGCATAGTTTTGGTCAATACGGTGAAAAACCCGAAAGAGGTTGAGTCCGGGCAGGCGAAAAAGGTCATCAGTAGAATAAGTTTCGACGATGGCCGAAGTTTCCAACCTCTCAAGGTTGGTGAAAAGAATCTACATTTACATTCCGTGACTACCTTCGCCAACATCGGCCGGGTATTTTCCAGTCCAGCACCAGGATTAGTCATGGGAATTGGCAATACAGGTGA